TACTTGTTTTCATCAGTTGTGGCAAAGAATACAAGAGCAAGGATGTAATGTTGGAGTTGTGCAGAGCATTGGTCAGGCCATAGCTGGAATCTATTGTGCATGGTTCTGGTCACCTCACTACAAGAAGGATGTAGTAGCATTAGTTGAGTTAGAGGATGTTGCTTGAAATTGAGCTATAATGAGACTAGATAGGCTTGAATTTTTTTCTTTAAAGCAGAGAAGACTGAGGAGAGATATGAGAGACATGTATGAGATTGAGGGGTATGGTCAGAGTGAATAAAGAGCAGTTGCTCCCCTTGATTGAGGGATCCATCATAAGAGGGCATAGTTTTAGGCTAAAGGGCAGCAAATTCAGGGAATTTTGGAGGGGGGGGTGCTGCAGAAGGGGTGGTGGGAAAAACATTTTCATGCAGTGGGTGGTGGGAATCTGGAATGTACAGCCAGGGAAGGTAGTGGAGGCTGGAAACATTACAGCCTTTTTAAAAAGATATTTGGATGGTACTTCAAATATTGTGATGCTCAAGGACATGGGACAAGTGCAGGAAATTGGAATCCGTGCATTTTAGTGGTATTTATGTCAGTGCAGATTCAATGGACTGAAGGGTTTTTTCTGCACTGTGAATTTAATCTGTCTGCGTTTGAGGCAGGTGGAATTTGAATAAACTCAAATTCCCACCTCTGTTAATTTTGAGGTGTCTGTCATGGCTCAGTTTTAGCACTTCCATATTTTGAATCTGAAGGTTCAAGTCCTTTTGGGACCTTGATTGCAAAATTTAGGTTCACACTCGCTGCTTTACCGAGGATGTGCTGAATTGTTGGAAAGTGCTGTTGTTCAGATTGAAACACAAGACTGAGGGTCTTTCTGCCATCCCTCACCCAGACATTGTGGTTTCTACTCCACTTTTTTATTCTATGGACATAACTCCTTAAGGAGGATGACATTGAGTAAATGTAGATTCCTGGATAAATGACGATAATAATATTGATTGTGCCTGAATTAAATTGTCATGTTCCTGTGCTTGTTTCCCCAGTAACTGAGTGGAAAAAGATATTTTTTCCCCACCCCTGTCTGCTTTCCACAAGGACCACCATTCATTCCACAACCACCCTCCCCACCAACTTCTCTACCACACCCCGGTACCTTTCCCTGCAACTGCAAGAGGTGCAACACCTGCCCGTACACCTCCCCTCTCCCCTCTGTCCAAGGCCCCAAAATATCATTCCAGATCTGGCAGAGATTCACCTGCACTTCATCCAACCTGATCTATTGTATCCATTGCTCCCAATGTGGTTCCCTCTGTTGGGGAGACCAAATGCAGACTCAGGGACTGGTTCGCAGGGTATCTGCAGTCCCCAACCAACCCGACCTTCCTTCCTGTTGTCATCCATCTTTAATTCCCCCCGCCCCGGCAGCATGTTCATTCTTGGCCGCCTGCATTGTCGGTGAGGCCAAATGTAAACTGGAGGAACAACACCTGATTTTGCCTTGGGAGCTTTCTAGCCCAAAGGCCTCAATATTGACTTCTCCAGCTTCAAAATCCCTCAACCCCCAGCCTTATCCCATGTCTGGTCTGGCCCTCCCCCTCCTCGCCTCCCTGACCTGACCAAACCTGCCCATCTTCCCACTTGCCCATCTGCTCCACCTCTCCCACTGACCAATCACACTAACCCCTACCTGCTTCCACCTATCACCAACCCACCTACCCTATCTCCAGCCCCAGCTCCCTCCTGTATTTACTTCTGGGCTGGGCTGTCCTCCCCTGCCCTGACAAAGGGTTTTGGCCCTAAACGTTGACTTTCCTGCTCCTTGGATGCTGTCTGACCCACTGTACTTTTCCAGCTTCATGTCTGTTAACTCTGGCTACCGGCATTTGCAGTCCTTACTGTTTCCAGATGTCTGTATGAGCTGGAAGAGTGATTCCATCAGCCAGCCTTTGGATAGTAGTCCTGACATCTGCTGGCAGGAGTAGGTAGTGAACCAGTGAAAGCCCTTAATATCTTTGCTAATCAATCAAATTTTGTGGGAGCTTGTATTCTCTTGATATCAAGAGGCACTTTTTTTATAGTGGCTATCATTAAACTTTCCTGAATCTGTTTAGGTCCCTGTATTGGTGGCAGACAGTGGCTTTTGTGTGCAAGAAAGTAATGCAGTTGCGTATTATGGTAAGTTTAATTGTCCTTCTTGTTTGTGTTCTTTCTATCTCCCCTTCTTCCTTCTGATTTCCAACTGCTCCACTTACATTGAGCCAAGAGTGTAGAACAACTAGTCCATGCTTTTTTTCCTGATAGAACTATTTATTTGCTGTTACGCATGTTCATTTTTTCTCCTTTTAAAGGCATCCTGGTAATTCACCTCACTGACTCTTTTTATAGTGGTTTCTGCTGGGTTTAATTGGATTTGAGTTATGAGGGTGCATGCAGAAAAGTGAGGTTCTGACAAATGTCAAATCAGCTGTGATCTTATTGTTGAGCAGACTCCGTGGATGTCGCTGGCCTTGAAGATGTAGCTGAGCTGCGTCCTTGAACTACTTTCAGCATGCCTTTCTATTTTGTGACATCCTCATAGTCACAAATGTACAGCACAGAAACAGACACCCTTTGGTCCAACTCCTCCATGCTGGCCAGATATCTTAAACTAATCTAGTCGCATTTGGCACATATCCCTCTAAACATTTCCTATTCATATGCTCATCCAGATGCCTTTTAAATGCTGTAATTGTACCAGCCTCCTCCACCCCCTCCGGCAGCTCATTCCATACACTCACTACCCTCTGTGGAAAAAGTTGCACCTTGGGTCCCTTTTAAATTTTTCCCCTCTCATCTTAAACTTGTGCTGTCCAGTCTTGGACTCCTACCCTGGGATAAAGACCCTGGCTATTCACGATTTTGTACACCTGTACAAGATCAGTTCTCAGCCTCTGATACTCCAGGGAAAATAGCCCGGCCTATTCAGCCCTTTCCTATGGCTCAAACCCTCCAAATCCCAGCAACATCCTTGTTAAACTTGAAAGCATGCAGGAAAGATGTAGTAAATCTCTTCTATAGCAGGGAGACCAGAACTGAATGCAGTATTCCAAAAGTGGCCTAACCAATATCAGTACAACCACAACATGACATCCTGACTCCTATACTGAATACACTGACCAATAAAGGCAAGTGTATGAAACTCTGCATTCATCACCCTGTCTACCTGCGACTCTACCTTCAAGGAACTACAAACCTGCACCCCAAGGTCGTCTTGTTTGACAACACTCCCCAGGCCCCTCTTTTCCTTTCAAGACAATGAGTCTGCCTCAATTACTTCCTGTGGTATTGCAGTTCACATTCTTACCACTTGAATGAAATAAATGATGATTTCCCTGCTGGACTCTTGGCTAATTTGTATTAATAATCTTGTTTGAATTCTCATGTGGAAACATTTCATGCCTATCTCTTCAGCCCATTCATAAATTAAAAGATGTCCCATTGGGTTATCTCCCTGGGCCTTTATCCTCTTGAGGAAAAAGTCCCCCCTACCTATAATTTCTTGGTTCTAATAACATCTTTGTAATTTTTTTTCCTTTCACTAGTGCTTTCTTTTCTAATAGCGTAGAGATTGATCATTGAACAAAGATCCATACAGTCTGACCAGAATCCTACAAAAGTTTGATTATAACTTCACCACCACTTTGGAATTCTACACCTAGAAATAAATACAGCTCTTGGGTTTTAATTCCTTACTTAATGCATTGCTTTCAATTTGTTCACTTGTATCCCTTGTTCCCTTTGTTCTTCCTGTCTCCTTTCAGATGCCATGCCTGACGAAGGCATTGGCAACCATGAGTTTTCTGAAGCATAATTGTGGACCAATGTACAGAATGGGTTTGCTAATGCCTTCTGCTGGCTGACTAACCAGGAGACTTCCTTGCTGTTACTGAATGGAAGGCAGTGTTTTGGAAGCATTTGTAGTCTGCACGTGACCTGTTTGGCCACATTGTGAATACACTTTCCGTTGCCATGAATTCCATGTGCCAGGCTTGTACCTGGAGCTTCTAACGTGGGTAATGATGTTGCCCATGTCACCACAAAACAACCTCTGCTCTCATAATCTACTAAATTTTTTTTGTTACTAGTCTGTGAAAGTGGCACTTATGTTTTTCTTGCCAGCCTTGCATTTATCTGTCTCTAAAATTTATTTGGCATTTAATGCCCAGTCTGCAAGTTTTCTGTACTTCGTTATATTATGAGTTATACTTGTACTTCATGCATAGCTGTACCTGTCAAATTGACTTCAAATTTTGATAATTAAGGTGTTTGCCCTGCTTGGATTCTTTAGGATTTCCTGTCTATATCTCTTTTACAGACTCTGTACCTTCTCTTATTTTCCTACCATTTCTGTATCATCAAATATTGTACCATACACTTGGCCCCTGGGGTTTATGGTACAGTGGTAGTGTCCCTCCTTCTGGGACAGGAGGTCCAGGTTCAAGTCCCACCTGCCCTGAAGTGTTGTAATCTATCTGTACAAGATGATCCTACATTCCCCAAATCACTTACATCAATTATCAATAGTTGAAGTCCCATAACTGGTCCCTGTAGTATACTGCTTGTCTCACCCCACCAACTTGAAGTTGATCAATTTATGCCCATCCTCAACTCCCCAGTAACCAGCAAAACCTCTGTCTATTGTAGTATGTTATTCTCTCCACTATTTACTTTTTTGTTTTGGTAACCTTTTGTGGCACCTTGTCTACTGCTTTTTAAAAACGCAAGCACGGTACACCCACCGGTTCTCCTTTATCTACATTGCTTGCTCACCTCTAATATATTAGTTGAATGTGATTTTTTTTTTTTTTTTTTTTTTTTTTTCCTTTCACAAACCCATGATGACTCTGATTGCATTAAAGTTTAAGTGCTGTTACCTCCTTTAGTAGATTCCAGCATTTTCCCTAAAATGGCTGTTGGGCTAACCAGTCTATAGTTTCCTATATTTCCCTCCTTTTCTTGACTAGATGAGTTAATCACTATTTTCCAATCAATTTTCTGAATCTAGGGAGATTTTTGAAAATTTTAAAAACTAATACATCTACTATCTCTGCAGCCAGAGTCATGCAGCACGGAAACAGACCCTTTGGTCCAACCAGTCCATGCCGAACATAATCCCAAACTAAACTAGTCCCGCTTGCATGTTCCTGGCCCTATCCCTCCAAACCTTTCCTATTCATGTACCTATCCAAATATCTTTTAAATATTATTGTGCCCACGTTCACTACTTCCTCAGGAAGTTTGTTCCACATGTGAACCCTCCTGTGTCTTTTTTAAAGAAAGCCCTTATGTCTTTTTTTAAATCTCTCCTCTCTCCATAAAAGTGTGTTCCCTGGTGTTGAAATCCCCATCCTAGAGGAAAAACAACTACCATTAACCTGGTCTATACCCCTCATGATTTTATAAATTTTATCATTCTATCAGGTCACTTTGCAACCTCCTACACTCCTGTGAATAAAGGCCCAGACTATCCAGCTTTTCTTTATAACTCAAACCTTCCATACCTGGTAACATCCTGGTAAATCTCCTCTGAACCCTCTCTAGCTTAATATCCTTTTTATAACTGGGCACCCAGAATTGGACACCATATTCCAGAGGAGGCCTCACCAATATTCTGTGCAATCTTAACATGACTTCCCAGCTCCTATACTCGAAGGACTGAGCAATGAAGGCAAGTGTGCCAAATGCCTTTTTAACCACATTGTCTATATGTGACACAAAGTTGAAGAATTAGGCACCTGAGCCCCTAGTTCCCTCTGTTCTGCAACATTACCTAAGTCACTACCATTAATTGTATAAGTCCTACCCCTGTCTGTACCAAAATGCAATATGTTGCATTTATCCAAATAGAACTCCATCACTTTTTAGCCCATTGGCTTCAACATTTTAGGCTGAAGACCATTAGGATTTGTCAGATTTTAGTTCTAATATTTCAGTGAGCAGCTAATATTTTGAGTCCTGTTAAATGTAATGTTTTAATTTCTTTGCTCCTGGTTTGCTGCCATTTATTTCTGGGATGTTACTTTTATAGCATACAGTGAAGACAAATGTGTTTAATATCTGCCATTACCCCACTTTCAATTATTAATTCCTGCTTTCCCAGTGTTTATTAAAACTTGTCAAAATATGACTACTTGCTATGTGCCATGGACTCCTGGGTTGACTGGTCTGTTCCCAGGTTTGTGGCTTCCCTCCTGCTTAGTGCCAGAACGTTGGGTACCTGTTGGCCCCTTGTCACTGGTAATCTGTGTGAGCACCACCTTTTCTTGGTATTGTCAGTTTTCTCCCTTTTTTCTATTCCAACAGTAATATTTAGAAATTCACCCTGTGGATGAATTCAGTAATTCAATGGTTTCTATTTTGAGTTGATTTGACCGTATTTTTGTGACCATTTCCTACTTCAGTATTTTTCTTGTCTGTAGGGGCGCTCTTGTCTTTGAATTAAGCTTAAGTCCAGAGATCCTCCTTGAGACCCAGTTCTGAAGAAACAGCACTGGACTCAACATTAACTTTGATTTCTTTTCACAGATGCTGCCAGATTTGAGTTTCTTCAGTAATTTGTTTTATTTTTAAATCTTCAGCATTCACAGTTCTTTGATTTTAGTGTTCACTCTGTTTAATTTGATTTTGTAATTTTACTTTGCCTTGCTGATTTTTTTTTTTACGCCTTAAGTGGTTTTTTTTTTGTCCTCCTTTTTTAAATTGAAATGATTTTTTTCTTCATTTCAGCTCCCTTTTTTGTTCATTGTTCACTCTCAATTAGCTTGCTTGCTTTGTTTTGTTTTAGTGGAATTGAGCTTGATTTGATTATCTTTTTTAAAAGATGTCCTACTGTCTTTATCATTTTAAAGTTTCTTTCAATCCTATTTGCAACTTGCTTCATTTGCTTGCTCATATGCTGTCCCCCCCCCCCCGTATAGCCTCTTGGTCTTCGTATTTAGTTTTTACGCCACCTTTATCTGATTAAGTCCATAATACTTAGGAGCAGAAGTAGACCATTCAGCCCATCAAGTCTGCTCTGCCATGCAACAAAATTATGGCTGATCTTGTAACCTTCAGCTTCACTTTCCTACCTTATTTATTCTTCCTCCCATAATCTTTTGATTCCTTAAAGCAAAAAAAGGACTGCATGTTCACAA